GATGCGCGCTGAGCTAACATGGCCACTTACAAAACACCCTCAAAGAAAGAAAATTGCAGCAGCACAACATGAGAGAGGGAGGGGGGGGGGGGGGTTGGCAAAATGTGGTGGGTGGAGAGGGCCTCTCATGTGACTGCCAACTAAAAAGGAATTCAAAAGGAAGGCTTATAAAAGTGCAGCTGTAGTCGTCATCATACATAGTGTTAGATAGTCTAAAGGATACTTAGGCATTTACATAACATATTCAGGGGTCCTTAAGCCTTGCACACCACCTGCCACCCCTTTTTCCCTCATAACAGTTCTTTCTCCTTCCCCACAAAACCAAAACGCTGTGTCTTGCAGAAGAGAAGTATATTTAGTTAACTGTTTGGATGTTGGGATGGTGGGGCCTTTGCTGTTCATTCCCTTTTGAGGTTAAGTGCACTTTTGCAACAATCTTTATAAGCCACCTATTGAAAGGGGGGGGGGGAGGTCTCCTCTTCGCAGTTGTATGAAATACAAATATCAGTTGCATTTTCTTGTTTTATGAATGAAATCTAAAGAAGTGGAGGAGGGTAAGGGCTTAGTTAATCAATAATATTTACATTCCTGAGGACTTGTAAGTGATTTTGTTTATTAGAAAATATATTTCTTTTAGGAAAAAGAAAAACGGAAAAGAGTTTGTTCAGAGATGATGCTAATTAATTGAAAGTAGCTGATCAACCTCTTACCGAAGTCATTTAAGGCTTACTGAAGCCTTTGAATATAACCTCTCCCTTATGGTGTAAGGTATCCAAATACAAAAGAGTGGCCTTTGATTATAACCTCTCTCTTATGGTGTAAGGTATCCAAATACAGAAGAATGAACAAAAAAGTAAAGCCTTTTTGGAGGGACCCGATTGCCATAAAACTATATTTCCCATCTAAAATGTTGGAAAAGTAACTATTTCTATGGGATCTGGGTCCCCAAGGATCCACTCTACTCATGTCCTTAAAGGAATACTATGCTATCACAATTATTTCTTTCCTTTTTTTATTAAAAAAAGTCGAAGCTAGGACTCGAACACAAAACTGTACTCATAAATAGTAGCCGAACTTTTCAGGCTACATATTTGGTTTTTCAAATTCCCCTCCCCAATTTTCTATTTCATTTTCCTAAGCCTTGTCTTTTGGTCTTTGGAAACTCAGCAAGCTATTGCACTTTAAACATGTTTCGATATCACCAAAAACCCGCATTTTGTTTTGAAAACAGTTTGCTGTTCCACATTTGAAAATAGGAAACCTCTGAGTTTTTCCCTCTCCTCTTTACCGTTCGCTGACAAAAACAAAACAAAAAAGTAAAAGTATTCATAAAAAGATTATCTCTAGACAGCCCTTATATTGGGCAACCAGCAAGCATTTGCCACACCAAACAAAAAAAAACAGCCCGCCAAAATTGTCTTCAATTCTGACAGCTGGTCGCCGATCCTCCAATGGAAAACCCCGAAACCTTAAAGTGTGCCAGCAGAAGGAATAAAAAGACAATGCATCGAATTGAAATCACCTGGACTGAGATTTCTTGGTTATGTGTGTCACGTAAACGCACACACCCCTCCTGAACACAAACAGCTGCCAGCTAAGCACCTTTTGAGCGTCTTGCAAGACGTTGTGATGGAAACAAAAGACAATACCTTTCAGTGACTTGGTCGGATAAGTTAGGCAGAGATTCATTGTTACTGCCAATCCATTGTTAGTTGTTGTTGGTGTATGCCGTGTGAATTTTGCACCTTTCCATAGGCAGTTCTGGGTGTGTGTGCGTGCGCCTTGGGTTTTTCTTATGGATTTTGCGCATTACAAGTAGGGTAGTTTAAGATTTATTCCTTTTTTTTCCAGCTAAAGGAATTTCTTAAGATTTCTGCTCTGAGTTAAGGGTTGTTTGTGTAACATTCTGTGTGTATGGGAATTTCCTTAAGAATACTGGCAGTCAGGAGAGGGTTAGTTTGGGTTCCTGCCTTATGTGGCTTATATAAGTTAAAATGGGTGGGAATTCCAGTGGCCTTAGTTTCCCCGTTTTCTGTTCTATTGTGCAAGTTTGCGTTTTAGTCAATGAAACTCATTATTAATATTTATTTATTTATTTTGCTCTTTGTTCTGTGTCCTTGTTTCCTTTGCCTTGATGTAGCAAAGTTAAATGTCTTCCGGTTGTGAGAAAAAAGTAACGGACATTTTTGTTTTGTAGTTTTTGTTTTTCCGTTTTTTTTTTAATTAAAGGACTAATTTCATTTTGATCATAAACTTAATTGTAGGGTTAAAAGTTGTTTTTTTTTTCGTTTTTATTTAATCAATTTATCAAGAAAAGCAAGTGGGAAAGGCGTAGTATTTCTTTCTCACAGAGTTAATAATGACTTGTTTTAATTGCTTCAAGACTTTGGTTTTGACATTAGGAGGTCATTAATGACGGATCAGGTGCCAGATGTTGTTGGGAAAATTGTATTTTATTTATTTTTAAAGGTTACAAATTCTACCTATATTTCATAATAAAAATAATCAAAAAATGTAAATGGTTTTTAATTTCAGAAAAACGTTATATTTAATTCAAAATAATTTTTTTTTTAAAAAAACTATTATATTTTTTAACAAATTTTGAATTTTCGAGAAATTTTACTATTTTTACTGATTGCTAATTGCCAGGTGCTGTTAAGGATTTTTTTTATTAATTTTTATTGGAAAGGTAGAATTTTTATATTCTCATTACAAAAAAATCGAAAAATGTTGTTGCTGTATTAACGGGTTTTAATACCCTGAAACGTTGTATTTAATTAAAAATAAAAACTTTCCAAAAATTATATATATTTTTTCTAAATGTATGTGTATTTTTCAGTCTTTTTGTCTATCTCAATATAACCAACTTCTCAATTAAAAGTCTCTTTTATTTGTTCCCAAGTTTTTCTTTTGTCACATGAGCACCACTTGTTAAACAACTCCTTTTCAAAAAAAAAGAGACAAAAGACAAAGAAAAATTCCTAATTGAAATGCATTGAGAATGCATTTAAAAAGAGCATCAAGACAATGTCCCTAGGTGGGTTTGTCTTAATACAAAGAATAAGAAGATCAATAAACACCTCATATGCCCCCCCACACACACACACACAAATTATCTGGGATGATAATAAAGCTGCAATTAACAATTTGCATATTATGCAAAATTATTAAATATACAAAGCCACTTTAACCACTCAAAATGACGACGACGATGACAACAACAATAACGAAATGAACAACAAGAATGTGAAATGCCTCAAACTCTCTAAGATTTAACAGGTCTCACACAGAGCCACCCATCCCAACCACACACACGGCCACCCACACCATTAAAATACACCAACCATAGCCCATCAGCCAACCAACCAAACAAAAAAACAACAATAATACCCACCCACCCAATGGGTATTATTCTCACATTAAGTCGGCAACCAATGCCATCTAAGCAATGCCTTGCACTCCCATACTTTGCTCTGTTCTGCTCTCCAAAATAATACTCATTCCCCCACACACAACACACATTGGCACACGCACACTCCCGTTCATTGATGTGTGGTAAGATTTATACAAAAGAACCTAACACAATTGTCACGTAGAGAAGAAAAACAAAAAAAATGTGTGGGGAGAGGAAGAGAGTGTGGGAGCATATCATATCAAACCAATCTCAATAGAAATACAGCAGTGTGTCTCTGAGTTCAGTTAGGCACCTAATGTAATTGCCAAATCAACTCCCTCTTCCCCATATTACGGCTGTTGTTGTTGTTTCTGTTGTGTGGAGAGTGTTGTGGTATATGGAGCACATCATAAATCAATCTCCCCCTTTGCTTGCAAGAAAACACAAGTTTGTGTACGCCTCTGAGTATTTCTAAACATTATTTTATTTGTTGGGTGTTGTGGGAGGCGAGAAACAGGTGTATGAGTAAAATGCACACTCACACGGCATTCTAATGTGAATCTGCACACTCAAAGTATTCAAAATGCTTATGTTTAGTCACTTAAAATTGTTGTTGCTGCTGGTGTCCTAATAACAAAAAAAAAAAAAAAAAAAAAACAAAACCAACAAGAAACACAAAAGAGATCTGTTCTTTTTTTTTTCTTTTTTTTTAATATAATGCAAAATTCTATTAGGCTTTTGACACCTTCTGCTATTCTTGGTGCTGGCACACACACTCACACATACATACATCATGAGGTGTACAAGAGATGAATGCGAGTAAATGAATGCCTGGAAATCATCGTGAATAAAGAAACGAACGGAAAATGCTAATTAGCTTTGCCACACAACGCACAAACACACACACACATTGAAATGCTGGGGTTAGAAAAATGTTGGAAATCACACACACACACTTACACACATGGGGGGAAACGCATTTTTTGTAGCTTTATACCAGGATGTGGGGTGTGCGAAATTTGTCACTGCGTTTGCAACACCACGAAATATTTTCACGAGACCCTATAAAGTATATGTTTTCTTGATCAGCATAAAATTACAAGGCGATAGGTAATAGGTAGAATATATTCCCGTATTTTTATTTTAAATTCTGGATTTAGTAACGGTCCAATATAATGCTATTCTCAAATTTTTTAGTATTTTAAAGGTCTAAGTCCTATTTTTCTAGGAGAATGGCTTACAATTTGATATTTTAGGTTTGTAAGTGGTACAAAACTAAGCGATAAAAATATTTAGAGGCCCTATTTTAAAATTGTAAGGATTTTTGGGACAACCAATTTGGGCAGATTTTATGTTTTCACATGTTGTAGGCTATACAAAGTTCGGTACGGCTGTTTTACTTGTTGAAAGTTGCACATGCATGTATGCCAGAATATGTGTGTGGGTGAATGTAAAAAGGGGCTTAAAATAAAGACTTTACAATGAAGTTATTTAAAAAAAAATATTTAAAAAAATCATTGTGGTCCCTTCATACATTTTTATACATTTCTAAAAATTTCAGTTATTTTAAAATTATTAAATAAATAAAATTGTTGATGGTACTTACCGGAAATTCGAGAACCATTTCACCAATTGTGCTGTATTATTCTTATTGAATTTAATGTCGGGGAAATACATTTTCAATACCGATGACGATGGATAGCGTACCCAGAAGAACATCAGCTTCGCTTTGCGCAGATGCATTGGCGTCAGAGTCGATGAATGCGAGGTGGTCAATGAATCGCTATTTTTGCTAAAATGTTCGTGTATCATTGGAAAGAGATTTGTTTTTTGTGGTTTTTTTGTTGGGTGTTTACGTTTATTTTTGTGGAATGAAAAGTTGAAAATTTGGCATTTCAGTATTTTTCATTATTTCAAAGCGAGTTAAGTGAAAAAACAGATTCGAACCACAAAAATTGCATTCCCAAACGTAAACATAATATTTTTTTTTTTTTTTTGGCACAAAACAAATTGATAGTAGGAGAAGGAAGGAAGAGAAAAAAACAACACAAAAATATTATATAAAAAATTGTATAAGAAAAATAAATCATAGGTTTTTTTTTTTGTTTTGCAAATATTACAAAAAAATATTTATATTGATTGCATGCAGCTGAATATGTTTTTTTCATTATTTTTTTGAATGGGGAAAAGGTGAAGAAGCAGCATTTCCTCCTTCTCTAGTTTGATTGAAAGCAATTTCTATACAAAAACAACAACAAAAATCGCTTTTTTTCTCCAATAGCCATCAATGTAACTTAACAAGAGCAACAACCAGAAGAACTTTGCCATTTGCTGATGTTGTTGCAATTTTCCCTCTTCTCGTTGAAGAGAAAGGTAAGAAAAATTAAAAAACACACACACACACACAGAATCAAACAAAACATACACCCACAGTGAACTACACCTGGCTGACTGAGTGACTGCCTGGTTGCCTACCTGACTGACTGACTGAGAGTGCATTGATTGATTTTGAATGCAATGCACCTTGATTGAGTCGAGTTGCCAAAGCAGAAGATTTGCTAAGGAGATGGGGGGTTGGGTGGGTCGATTTCAGAAAGAAAAAAAACCTGCTGACGGTTGTTGGCCCATCATCCACACTGAACTGCAGCGAACTGCTGCATTTGACTGGGGGCCCATGGGGATGTAGTTTGTTGTAGTTCGTTTGGGCTTAAAGATTTGTTGAAGCATTTTGTAATCAATGGGTTGTTGATTCTTTAGCAGAAATTCTTAAGTTTCTTCGGCTTTGCTTTGGCTTGGGGTGGAGTGGGGCAGTTGGAGGAATTGTATTTTGATTTGTTTGTTTTTTTTCTCGTATAGTTAAGTGATTGGGGTTGTTGAAATAAGGTTTTGATTTCACTGCTACTTATTTTATAAAAGATTGTTCGGCTGTTGTTCTTTTCATTCATTCATTCATTCGACGATTTGGTTTGCATTTTATTCTGTGGCAACTACTTAAGGCAGCAAGTTTTTTTTTTGTATTAAAAAAAAAAAAAAAAAAAAAAAAACAACTGAAGACACTTGATTGGTTTCCTGCATAATAAACATGATATATACAATCAGGAATGTGATTTGGTCTTAAGCCCTAGGAGGTTAAAAGGGGGCTGGAGGGAGGCGAAACTAATACTAGACCACTTCCTCCTGATTCTTTTGTACAGTAATAAGAAAGAATAAATTAAAAAGTAAAACTAAAATGACGGAAATATAGGAAATGGATAAGTGCTTACCAATATTTTTTTTTTACAAAACAAAAATCGAAAGAATTTTTTTTAAATTAAAACAAAACCTACAATTTTGCACCCTCAAAGAATGTATGTTGTAATGGCAAAGTAGAAAAAATTAAAACAAATAAAACTGTCTGAGTAATGCATGAAGTAATGGGTGCTGGAAAACAAGCTGTAGTGAAATTCTAAAAATATTTCTTTCTGTTTCAAACAAATATATTTTAATTAAAAAAGAAGGAAATCATTCCCAAAGCTTTCAATCAAACCCCTTACATTCTACCTCCAAGTAATGACAAAAGTAAGGTGTTTTTTCTTCATTTTCCCCATTCTGTTTTTTTTTCGTAAAATATTTTCAAAACATGCATGAAATTTTTTTTTTTAAATTTTTCAAAAGCAAATTTCTTTCTCATACTCACATCATTTGTTGTTTCAAAAACGATATGGTCGGTTGCATTCCATCGAATTGCATATCAGCCGAATTACAATCCGAATTACGATCTTGCGCATCCATGGCAGCACGCAAATGGGCACTGTAGTCCGGCGATCCACCGTGATGGGCGGCCGCCAACAGCGCCGGATGCAGCATGGTCGAGGGATGGGGTGGCAGTGGCGGCGAACCATCACGCGAACCGTCCATCAGACTGCCCAGACCGCCGGGCGGACTCGACGACATTTTGATGTGATGCATTTGGGTGGCTGTGGGTGGGGCGTGTGGTCCGTGCGGCGGCGGTGCATGCGGATTAAAGAATGGACTGTAGGGTGAGAAGACTTGCGATTCGTGTAGCGAAGGATTGGGTATGGCGACCGAGGTGGGCAACGACACGGGCAACATGGGTGGTGGTGGCGGCGGTGGCCCGGCATTCGCATGGAATGCGGGCGGCGCTTGGCTGCGCGGCGATGGACTTTGGGCGGGTGTGGTATTGCTGTTCGAATTGTTGCCTTGTTGGTTATTGTTGTTGCTGTTGTTGGACGCTGACTGATTGATGTTGCAACCATTGTTCATGTTGTTGCTATTGCCTTGATTTGGATTGCTGTTGTTCTGCTGCAGACTGTTCAGCGAGGCGGGATTCATAGGATTTGGGCCGTTCGCATTGCAGGGTCCGTTCATTTGCGATTGCATTTGTTGTCCGTTTTGGGCCATGCCATTGACGGGGCTGGGTGGGACCAGGCCATCCTGAGCCAGAATACGACTCACGGTGCGCGGTGTGATGCGGGTGTCCGTCACCTTATGGCGTTTCTTCTTCGGTGTCACCACCAAACTCAATGCCTCGTTCTGCTCGAGTTGTTGTTGCTGCTGTGCTTGCAGCTGTTGTTGCTGTTGCTGGTGTTGTTGCTGCTGCTGTTGCTGCTGCTGCTGCTGTTGATCGCGCGGCTCGGGCATACAGAACGGATTCATCTGCTGCGGTCCGGTCGACGTCATCGAATTGTAGAGGGCGGCTGCTGCCACCGGATTCATGCCCTGAGGTGTCTTCGGTGCCTGAAACATTGCTGCCGCTGTGGGCGAAGGTCGTATATGAGGTGGTGGTATATTTATTGTACTTAAACTATTGTTGTTGTTGTTAGTATTATTTGTTGGGGCATTGAGATTGAGGCTCATATTCGAACCATTGGAACCATTCAAACTATTGAGCTGGGTGGCTCCACCACCAATACCCACCATGCCACCATTGACGACTCCATCTGGGCCGAGGTGGGTTGGGTGCTGACTATTGTTAAGACTTTGTTGTTGCTGTTGCTGCTGCTGCTGTTGACCAGATGCAGCGGCCGCCGCTGACATGGCAGCCGCTGCCGCAGCATGATGCATTTGCAAGCCCATGGCCGCAGCAGCTGCGGCTGCGGGCGAGGGGAAGGACAACTGATTGCCGTTAAGGCGTGGCGCAGCTATGAGACTTTGACACTGCTGGGCATTCAATGCGGCCGCCATACTGGCCGGCGTAGCATTGGGATTCTGGGTATTGGCCATGGGCATGGCATTAACCTGGGGACCGCTGCTGCTGACAACGTTGGGCAAGTGGCCGCCCATTTGGGCGACAGCTTGCTGCGTTGCTTGCAGGGCATTGGATGGGTTAGTATTTTGTGGATTCAATGGGTTATTTAGACTATTCGTTGAGCTAGAGTTATTGTTATTAACTAAGAGTAGGTTACCAGTATTATTACCTGCTTGATTGACGACGGCGGCGGCCACGGCGGAGTGTCCATTCGACTGGGCGGATGCGGAGCTGCTGGTGCTGTTCGTGTTGGAGCGATCGGCGACCTTGGTGCGCGGCGATTTGCGATCGAGGATTTGGGAGGCCAGCAAGAGGTCCTTGTTCAGCTGTTCGGCAGCGGCCGCCACCGAATCGGATTGTTTGCTGAAGAGGCGGCGCTGATGCACGAAGCGTGTGACAATGGTGTCGACGAGGGCCGAGAGGGAGGTGGTAATTTCGGACTTGAGCACATCGGCAAGGCCTTCAAGATCGGCGCCGGACATGCGCATTATCGAGCTTGAGCTGGAGCGTAGCATATTGAACTTTTCCGAGAGTTCGCTCTTGAGGGCGGTGTTGTGACGCAGACTGACACGATTGCTGTTGTGGTGCAGCTGGGGTCGTGTGGGCTGTTGCTGCAGCGTTTGCTGTTCATGTTTGAGCTGTTGCAATTGTTGTTGGCGCAATTGCTGTTGTTGTTGCTGAGCGGCCTGCTGTTGTTGGGCGGCGGCTGCCTGTTGCTGCTGCTGTTGTTCCTCTTTACGTCGCTGCTGTTGCTCCTGCTCAAAGCGGCGTTGTTGCTCCTGCTGTTCCTGGGCTTGTTGCTGTTGTAACTGCTGTTGTTGTTGCTGCTGCTGTTGGCGTTCCTGTTGTTCGGCAGCCTCCTTGGCCATGCGTGCCTCCTGTTCGAAGAAGAACTGTTGGCCCAAGTACATGGCGGCAGCATTGCTGATAGCTGGATGGGGCAGGCCACCCTCTCCCGTCTGCAGCTGTGGCATGTGTTGCAACAGAGGCAGAGGTCCATTGAAGGATTGCTGCATGTGGGGATGATTTACCAGAGGATTGTGCAACTTGCCCGACATCATTTTGCTCATCATTTGCGACAGGACATTGGGAGCATTTTCCATGGAGGTGAGGGCCGTGGAGTTGGGATTGTTGACCAGCTTACCATTCTTCATGGGCAAGGGTGAGGCCGAATTGGGCCGTTCATTTTCCTGACCCGAACTTTTGTCCTCGTGCAGGGCTTCTTCGTTCATGAGGGGTGGTGAGGGCGACAGGTCACCGTTATTGTCCTCCTGTTCCATGCAATCACTGACATTATCCTCAATTTCTTGGCACTCCGACTCCTGTTCCATGCGTGAGCATAATTGCACATATTTCTGTTGCATCTCGGCCAGCTGCTCCTGCATGGAGCGTAACTGGGATTTGAGAGCATTCTTTTCATTGCGTTTCTGTTGCAGTTGAGGGGACTCATTTTCATCCGAGTCATCGGCATCGTTGAGCATCATGGACTGGAGATTCAGACCGAAATTGAGACCAGCAGCAGCGGCCACATACCGTTCCATGGCATGCTGTTGTGGTTGGTATAGTTTGCGTTTCTTGCAACCATTTACCTGTAAATGAGCCTGATTCGAGGCTGAGGGACTGGAACGCATACTGGACACAATGTTCTCAACACGGGCCCTCTTCAAATCAGATTTCTTGGGCATACCCGTGGACATGTCCTTGTCCAAATCCTCATCCATATCATCTTTGCTGTTGTCCAGCAGCATCATATCCGATTGCGATGGGGAGGCTAGTGATTCGAGATCGGAACGGGAATTGAGACCCATGAGTTCCACATCCTCGAGGATGTCATCTGCCTCCTTTTTTGTCACAACACCGGTCATATCCATTTGTTCATTGTCGATTTGTTCCTGGCCTTGCTGCGACTCTTGGCCATCCAGCTCGGATTGTTGGTCCTCGTGCTGGGAGTTGTGTGGCGAATTGAGGCCACCACAATCTGAGTCTGAGGATTTGCGCCGCTCCACAGAGCCATTCATCAGATCCATGGATGAGTTGGGCAAATTGGGTTCACTCTTGATTTTGATTTCCGACAGTGAGTCCTCAATGAGGTTTATCACATTCGAATTGTCCGATTTGGAATCGGCAATATTGTTGTTGTTATTGTTATTATTGGCTGAGGCATTATTGTTGTTGTTCAGTTTCAACGAGTCCTGATTATCTTTTTGTTGATGCTGCTGCTGCTGCTGATTCATTACCGAACGCAGTTCCTGATCCAGCTGCATCAGTTCCTTTTTGCCCTGCAAAATATTGCGCAGCATGTGATGGGCCAAATCGTTTTGTTGTTGTTGCAAACTGGGCGACGTGGCCGTTGTGTTTGTGGAGCCCACAACATTATTGCTGCTGGCATTATTCGAATTATTACTGTGGCCCACTGAGGGAGCCCGAGGTGGCGTTCCCGAACCATTGCGCAGCCCATTGCCATTCTCTTCCAGCGAACGTTCGCTGCAGTTGCTGATGCGACGATTCTTGGGCGATTGTGAGGAGGTGATCTGTTGGTCACTGGAAATCGTGTTGTTGTTGTTGAGCAATTTACCACTACCGTTGTTGTTGTTGGTGGCGGTTGTGTTCAGGCCTAGCGTATTCACAAGATTGGCAGCACTCAGCAAATCGGCACTTGTGGCCGATTCCATGGCTGCCGCCAACATGGCATTATCCAAGTTTGTGGGTAGACCACTGGTCGCATCCTGGGCCTGTTTCATTTGACGGCCGAATAGTTCGTTCAACATTTTGGCCGAACCGAAACCGTTGGCCCCGAAAAAGTTACCTAGAGCTGCCGTAAACTGGCCGGTCAGCAGGGAGGCGGTGGGCGATGTCTGCGAGGAACTGGGCGAGTTCTGGGGAAATGTTTTCGATGCTGAGCAGTGCTGGGCAGTGGGCGATTGTGAGGTGGACGATGATGATGTGGTTTGATTCAGTAAGGCCCCATATAGAGCTCCTCCAGCGGCACCCGCGGCAGCCGCAGCAGCACTACTCATTAAGGCAGCAGCTGTTGACGGCGTCAATAGGGTGGGTGGCGTAAGGGCCGCTGTTGTCGATGACGAGGACGAGGGACTGGCTGAATTTTGTAGCTGTTGTTGTTGTTGCTGTTGCTGAGTTAATTGTTGTATAAAATTTGGCAATGAGGCGAAAATATTCAAATCACTTTTGTCAAAATCTTCAAAATCATTAGAGAATGTTTGATTTGTATTTGTGTTGTTGTTGTTGTTGGATGAATTGTTATTGTTATTATTGTTGTTTTCATTCACAAAACTATCACTTGAACGCGTCGTAGTCGTCCTTTGCGAATTTTTATTTTGGCTACTCTTTAGTTTTAAGGACGAAGCGGTGGCGGCACCACTTGGCACATTATTCGTTTTGTTTGCGACTCGAGACGAGTTCGATTGCAACTTGGAATTTTTATTCGATTTACTCGCGTTCGAATTCTGTTTGAGTTCCGTGTGTTTTCTCGACGAGGTGCTCGACGAAGACGACGATGGTGTTGAGGATGCGAGAGCTGACGGAGCTGACGTTGTTGTCTTATTGACGGCACCACTATGACTACTTTCAGAAAATGTTTCAACGACTTGGACGACTTGTTGTTTGCCACTGTTGATGTTGTCTACGGCCGACGTTGTCGTCGTTGTGGCAGCCGTGGTTGTTGTATTCTGGTGAGACGAAGTCTGAGTCTCTGCTAAGGTTGTGAGTGTGCTTGAGGTTGTGTTAGTGTTCGTGTGTGCCGTGTTTGCTGTTGCTGTTGTTGTAGCTACAACGTTTGGTGGTGTTTTTGTGTTTTGTGTCGTTCCACCACCACCACCAGCACTTCGGCCACAGCGTTTAGGGCTGCTGTTAAGAGAATTACCGGCGAAGAGAAATATAACTTCGTCGTCTTCTTCGTTGGTAGAGGATATGGCCTTTGTGTGCTGCTCCTCTACGTTGCCGTTGCCGTGGCCGTTGTCGTCGTTGTTGTTTTCGTTTATTGCCTCCTGCTCTTCTTTGCTGGGCTTGGGCTCTTGTTTAGCTGTGTGTTGTTTTTTGTTCGCCTTCGTTCGATTTGAGTTGTTTAGAGAATTTTCGCCTTCGCCTTTGCGTTTGAGTTTTCCCTCAATATTGCTCTGGGCCTGTGGCCGCCGTTTTCCACCGGCAGGGTTTTCTGCGGTAACCTCTGCTGGTTTCTCCTTTGATTGCTCTTCGTGCTTCTCCTCTTCTTCCTCCTCCGCCGCCGCCGCCGCTGCTGCTAGACTTGTTAGCAGGGGCGAACAGTGACCGTTGCTGTGAGTTTCCGCTTCCGTTTTAAGATTTGTCAGTGTGGCGGCTAGCTGGGACTTGGTGCATTCGTCGAATGTGTTGTCGTTATTCGCCGCTTCATAGATGTCCGCCGTTGGGCCGGTGGTACTACCGCTGTGTGAGTTATTTAAGGTTGCCTTGAGCAAGGACTTATCATCGGTGAACAAACCAAAACAATCTGTGTCCTCCTCTGATGACATCATCAGATGCCACCCACTACTCGCTGACGACGCTGATGATGAGTAGTGGATGGTGGGATTGTTGTGGTTGGGGGTTAGGGGGGTGATGGAACCACCACAGCAACAGCAGCAGCACCGGTTGTGTTGGCAACGAAGAAGGCGCCAGCTGTTGGAGATGGGGTAGGGGTGGTGGCACTACAAATCACCCTTCAACACGTTGTCTTAATGTCCGTTTGTTCGCTTGTTTTTTTCCTCTTCCTCAAGAGGTAAACAGAGAACAGTTACTTTGGTTCTGCTCTGCTCTCCTTATCCTGCTCTGCTCTGCTCTCACTTGAAGTTATTTTTACCCTTCTCAGGTGAAGTAAATGAATTCGCCGTTGTAATAATTTCTCCACACTTTGTTGCTCAGAGCAATTCGCCGTTTCTCTGGGGTTGACTTAATCTTTGTGCCGTGTGTCTGTGTGCGTGTGTTTTTGAGAGAAACAGCCAAGAAGTCTCCCCTTTTTTTGTCGATTAGATCTATGAGTATGGGGGTGTGTGTGCGTGTGTTTGGTTGTTTGAAACCTCTATTGGTGGCAGACAGGCAGACAATTCCACTCACTCACTATTTCGCTCGCTCGCTCACTCGTTGCGCTTGGTCTCACTTGGTTGCCCCCCGAAAATAAAAATCAAAACACTGTCGAGGAGGAAATGCCCAACAACAACAACAAATTTAGAGAAAATTCGCCGTCTTTGTTAGGTTGGGTGGTTGGTTGGATGGATGGATGGTGTTGTCTCTCCCCCACACAAAAATTAAATTCAAGTAAAATGCGTTTTCAAAATGGTTTTGTTTGAAGGGGGCGTTCGTTAGCAGGGAGTGGGGCCAAACTCAACTCAACACAAAGTGGATTTGGTTGGCTCTCCTTTGTCCTGTGGCAATGAAATTCCTTGTTCTGCTGGAAGTTTGATATGAATTTTGAACAAAGTCTTGCTGGCCAGCCTTGAGGGACTTGTTGGGTGTTTTGACTCAATTTGTTTGTTTTGTTTTGGATTTTTTTTGTCAGTCTAGGGAAATTATTTTCAATTTTTATTTTTTCAATACTCTGTGTGTGTGCGTGTTTCACGTCTTTTGGGGTTTCTTCTTCCTATTATTGGCGTTTAAAAAAATATATAGCTAGACTTAGTTCAAGTCCTTGTGGTGTTCTGGTTACTGGGGGATTCTTGTTGCGGTTGTTGTTGCTGATGATCCTGACGCTTCCTTTTTCTTTTCTCAATTTTTCGCCAAACTTAGAAATTTTGATTGGTTCGGAATGTTAAGTTTTGAGTTTTCTCTTTGGTTTTAGCCTTCCGTTTCAAAATGTGACGTTTACGTTTTTTCCTTTTTCTAATTGTAAATTTTGTTTTATTACTTCTTTCCACCACCACACACATGCGAATGTCTTTAGCATTTAATTTTTAATAAAAATTAGTGATTTTTTTGTGTCTCGTTTGGGTATTTGTTTTGAATAGTTTTCCGTTTTGGTCATACATTCAAATTGATTTTTCCTTAGATTTTTTGTTTTCATCAAATTTTTTGAATCAAAGAAAAATGAATTTATTTTGGTTTTCTCAATGATTTTTTTTTCTTTTAAATTTGTTTGGTTTTCTTTGAATTGAAACGTGTGTGTGTTTTATTTTCAAAAGTTTGTATATTTAGTTGGTTTTTTTTTGTTTAACTCTCTCCTTTTTTACGCGCGCTTAAAAGTCTCTCTGTAAATATAGGGAAAAAAACAAAGTAGAAGGAAGAAGAAAGACATTAATTGGTATTTAGAAAGGCAAAAGAATGTGTATTATTTTACACTCAAAAAATTAAAAAAAAAATCTCTAATGTGCGGGAGGAGCGTTTTTCAAATCCCCTTAGATAATTTATATAAGCATTTATCCTTTTAAAAAGGGGTATGGTTTTTTATCCTTTTTTGCATTTGGCAAAGGAGAAAGCTTTGGCTTAGATAATTTGTTCACCCTTATTTGTGGACAGGTTGTTGTAGTCTGTTAACATTTTGAGATAACGTAATTTTCTAACCCTTTTTTCTGGATTTTAGCAGAAGAGCAATGGTGGGCAGTGAGGGAGGGGTTGTATGTAATGCTGTAAAGTTTAACTTTCACTTGAAATGTGTTTTTTTTGTTTTGAGTTTAAATTTTAAGGCATTTTTGGGGGTATGACTGAGGCAGTTTGATTTAACCTAAATTTTTCTCAGATTAGATAGAATAACATATTTGAAATTTAAATCTTTAAATTCTATGTAATTTATTTGGGGAATTTCGGCAAAGGGTGTTGGATGTCTTACCTGAACAAAATTTGACCAGAATTTTAAAATAGGTATTTTAAGGTATATTCAGGAATATTTAATATATCTAGGGGTTGTCCTTTATTTGTTCAGATGCAGTAGTTATATTGCCATTTCGAATATCCTACCATAGTTATTGTCATCAAACTCAATATTTTATCAAGAATTACTCTGGTCAACACGAAAATTATAAATCTTATCCTGAATCTGTACAAAAGATGACAACCGCCGTTTTTCCAAAAGAACCTCAACGATAAAAAAACATAATAATAATAATAAATAAATAAATAAAAGCCAGTAAAAATCTGTAAGTTCGGACGGGCCGAACTTTGAATACCCTCCACTATTTGGAATGAATTTGGCAATTCTCAAAAGCAATAAATTCTGTTAAAATCTTAAAAATACCGAATGTAGATATTATATTAGGGTATATTAGGGTCTATACGACGACATGAACCTGCGTAGGTAACATTTGTCATAAGCCATTACAATATTCAAATGCAAAACTTAAAAAAATCGGTTATAATGTCGATAAAATCAAAATACCGAACTTTCTGTACTAGGCTGTATTATTCATTACGAACTTCAAATATCAAATTTGAAACAATTCAGGTGAAAAATGTCCCTAAAATCATTAAAATACCGAATATCCTGCACAGACAATTACGAACTTCAAATACCAGAAACGAACTTCAAAAAAAGGCACTCGCTTTTCTTTCTATAAGTTCAAGACTTTCTGCAAGTTTTCTATAAAGACTAGATCTTCTATGGGTTAAAAAAAGATTATTTTTTTAGGGACATACACCAAAGACCCTATCCTAAAGCGGTTACTTTTCTCATCTTTTTTTTGAAAGCTTAATTCTTTTCAGTGCTGTCTAGGTCCCTGGCTTTTACAGGTTCTCTAAAAATAAAACCTTTCGAAGACTTCTTAGATAGAAAATCCCTATTGAATCTTCTGCGAATACAAGGCATTTTAAAGGTCTTCTCAATATAGAAGACCTTTCAGTGGGTATTCTATAAAAAAATAACATTTACAAGTCTTCTATAGACTTGAGACCCATATACTTACAAGATCTTCTACAGATCGGGATACAACATTCTAAAATTTTTAATAGATCCCAGCCGTTTAAAAGTCTTTCGTGTTTGGAAAACTTACTGTAGGACATGAAGTCCGCCATAATCCATTTACAGGAAGAAGATCTCCATGTTAAAAAGTTTTCTTAAATATCGTAATAGGGCCTTTTTCGGATTTTCTTAGATTGCTGGCGTTTTAAATGTCAGTCATATTCAGGCCTTCTATGAATCCTTTAAAAATATATAACCCCTTTATAGAAGATTGTGATCCTTCTCTATATCCTTTATGAATTTTCTAAGGAAATGAGGCCTTCTACAGATATTATATGCTACGTTTTCAGAGGGAAGACCCATGGATAGAGTCTTTTCTGTAAGACCAATAAAATAGCTCTCTTGATTTTTTAAAGAGAAGTCACGTTTTAGGCCTCCTAAAGATGAACGATTATAGTTCTTCTATGTACAGAAAACTTTTTTGGTCTTTCCATTATGGAAGATATTTTAAAGTTAGAAATGAGAGATTTTGATTTTGTCTTCTATGAAAATTCCTTCCATACACTTTTTACAAGTCCTTCTTTCAGAAGTTCAAGTGGAGATTTTATAGTCGTAGTTGATTTCTTCTACCAGACACGGAATCCAAATCGATTTTCTAATTTAAGTGTTTGTTTTCTCTTTCGAGACGAGCTTAATGATCTGAAATTTGCAGTGAAAAGGAAAGCCAGATAGACACTATCACACACTCACCACTATGCGACGCGTTTCGCCGTTGGTTAAGCGGCTCATCAGGCATATTTGATGTGGATGATGGCTTACAAGGGCCGTTCTCTGGAAAGTAGTATATATTTCGAACTTATTGCAAATTAGCATATGCGAATTATACACTAGAAACTCTCCAGGTTCGACTCAAGTTCTATTGGCAGATCTTTTTCACAGCAACGTTTTGTTTTTGTAGTGATGGATTTTTTGTCCACAACAACTACATTGCTTCCAATGCATACACTTGTTTTAGTGCTGCTTTAGGAAGACGGGTTAATGGCTCTGAACGTAGAGACGGCAACTTCTAGTTGGCTGCACACAGAGGTCCGAGGTCGTTTGCTTGATACTTAATTTTTGGTATGAAGAAGTCTAAAATTTCAAATCGTTTTTCCGGAGCCTTGGCCGATTCCTATTACCAGACCTGGCGATTAATGAACTTTTGGAAGTGGAAAGTCTAAACTTCGAAGTCGACTTTTGCATCCATTAAATGTGAAAAAATCGACTCTTTAATAGAGTTTCGATTTTGGGATCATAAGTTTTGGTATGAATTTTCAGGATTTTGTTGGCAAAACTGCATACAAAAAATCTAAAATCAAAATCAGTCAAATTCGACTAAGCAGGGTTACTTTCCGGGTATTTTTGAACAATTTACAAGGACCACATTTTATATGTTTTTCATAAACTTTGTATACATTATGCCAACAGATTACAGACCCTTGTAAAAGAAGGCCTTTTCTCTAAGGACTTAAACCGACTTAAACTTTTGAAGAAAATTCCCTATCTATGTCTTACGTAGAAAGATGTATTTTATTTAGAACATATCCTCTCAGCTATGTTTCAATTGCGTTCCAATTGCCTTTCAAATCTAGGGCGACAGATAACATTAACTAATTTCATGTTAAATGTACAAAAATATCAGAAAAGTAGATATTTCGGAAAAGGTACGTAACTCCTAGGCCCCTTCCTGCGTATGTCCCTAATGATGTCCAATGGTCTACATGATTCTGGGTTTGAGGCCATTTGAGAGCCTTCTACTAAGGTAGGATCTCGGATATGCCAACAAACTCGTGTGAAAAAACTTGAATAAGATCAGCAATATTCTAAAAATCTGTCGGTATTCCTATAATGAAGGCTAAAACCATTTTCCGCTTAAACCATTCTCTGATCTATAATTTGTTTTTCAAAAACAAAAAGTGGCCTTTTGTTAAATTGATGGTAGTATGCTAACTCCAATAGAAACCCTGAAAATACATCAGGTTTCCTAACAAATCAAACAAACTTCAATTGACCTCCATAACTTATCCTAATGGTTCTAGAAGAACATTTTTTCCCACATTACCAGTATTTTGCCGCAAACCACTGCCAGTCATTAAATTAATATCCTTACGGCAAGGCAAAAGCCAAAAATATCTCAACGTCTGCCAGTTCTCATAAAACCAGTCAATCTTGAGATTTTCTCAAGGAAATTTCTTTCTAATCAGCTTAACAATAAAAAGAAAATGTTAAGGACTTCAAATTTTTCATGCTAAACAAATAAAACTTGTTTTCCCAGCAACGTCTTTAAGACGCACAAACTGATTTCTTAACAAATTAAATTAGATTTTCTAAGCAGCCACCACCAATAAAAAAAAACTTACATTGCTACCTAGCTATGGAAATCAAAAGGAAAAAAAGAAAATAAACGAAAAATTCCTTTACATCCCAAAACTAACACAGCCAAGGTTCAATGCAAAGGCATTTTTCATAAAAATGCATTGCAACAATTCTATTCCCTAAAAACAATGGAGAGAGCATAAAAGTTTTTTTTTTTTTTTTTGGTTTATTTACCAAGCAACCCAATCTAATGGAATGACAGCGAATTCAGGGTACAGTTTCCGCTGTTCCGTTTACCTCATAAAAATGCTGTTGCATTTTCATCATCATCGCCAGCGTCGTCGTAACAAAATCGATGAATAAGGACAATGGCCAGGAGGGTAATAGTTTTGTAACCACCACCACCACTACCACCGTCATCCTCATCATCAACATTTTCAACGTTATTGAACAAAGTTTAGCTTCTCAAAAGTATTGGAATGGCAAAGAAACTACCACCACCACCCCTTAATCGTTAAAAAAGGATATTGCACAAGGACAATGAATGGTAGCTGCATAAAAATGCATTGTTGGTAGTAATTTTAAGAAAAAGGACTTTTCCCTACATTCCTTTGGTGAAATTTAGTTTTTTTTTTCTTTTTTAATTTTCTCTTTTTTGGAAAATGTCAAAAATAACGTCGAAAAGTCATAAATGTTGTCTTGGAAACCAAAATTTAGGGGGGAAATTAAGGGGTCATCAGACAGACTTATTGCTCATTATTTTTGGATACAATTTCGCCTGGAAAATTTATTTTTGTGACAAAAATAGGAAAATATGCAAAATATTCACTTAATTTGAACAAAATATAAAAATATTCGAACGATGATAATTATGGGTTAAATATATATAAATAACATAATAAAATTAATTACCACAAACAAAGCGTTTTAGCTCTGTCGTCCATCGTTAATCCTCCTGAAAAGAGATCGAGAGAAAAAAAAATATTATTTTCAATTCCATAGCTTTTTTACTCAGATTTTTATGCTAAAATATTATTTTTTAATTAAATGATATAAACAATTTTGTGTGATATTTAAAATAAAATTACAAAAATATTGGAATTTTGACATCATTTAATTATTTTGCCTAAAATAATCCCTGAGTTTTATTGAAATTATGAGAGATACTAAATTAGCGAAATTTAAATGAAAAAACTATAACAAACTTTGCAGTGAGAAAGCCTTGGATTATGCCCCAGATTCATTCCAGAAATCTCATATCTAAGACCCCTATATGGAGTGACATGGATTATGCCCACATTTTTTCAAAAAAATCTCCAAACTTGGATACCTACATGGAGTGTCTACAAATATTAAGGTCGGTATTGATATGGAAGATCCCGATGCAAACCTAAGACACTCGTTTTAAAGTTTTATAGAAGTGGACAGTCCAAAATGGAGGAAATATCATGTTAAAAAATTAAAAAAAAAAAAAATATTAAAAACGGAACCTTCCTTAAAGACTTTGAATTACGTATCTGGTATTTTTTATACACAAGAGCGACAATCTTAATATTAAGAACTTAATTATACATTGGCACATAAGACACCATTTCGAAGTATAAACCGCCTAGTATTTCAGTAACTTTTACAAAAGCCTTTTTATACCCTCAGTCATATGGCCACAGAGGATATTTGATATGGTCAAAACGTGCCTAGTCGAAATAACGGTGTTAGACCCTAGGTCCCTTTGGACCAAATCCGTTTCAAGACATTTGGAGAGTTGTTTCCAATTTAGCATTAGCATAAAACGGTACCTCCCGATTTTCGATATTTTTATAATTTTTAGCCCCTTTTCCCACAGAATTACTTAAAATTTGGTATTTAAGACTCACAATAGATAACAAGCCTTGTAGTAGAATATTGTAAATATATGTTCCCGTTTTGGTATGACCTCATATATAAAGGTTCCATAAATTCCAATTTACCTGTACCCTCCGTCCGTACGTCTGTCCAAGTATTTTTGTAAACAGGTCGAATTTATTACCCGAATCATATGAAATTTTGTACAAATTATTTGTTTGACCCAAGGACGAACCTTATTGAAATTGGAGAAAATCGGTCTAAATTTAGATATAGCTTCCATATATATCTTCGTCTGATTTGCTTTTTATTGTGCACGAAACGTGTAATATCAGGCCAAATTAGGTCTAGAAATAAGAATGCCTAATTTTAATCGAAATCGGTTCAGATATGGCTATAGCTCCCACATATGTTGTTCGCCCGATTTTTTTTATTTTTGTTCTCTGCAGCCGTAATACGCACTCTGTAACAACCATATTTGGGGAAATATATCAAATACATGTCAGAAATACCTTTGCTAAATTTTATCGAGATCGGTTAACCACTTATTCATTTCTTTTTCGACTTCCTTGACATAGAGTCTAATGTTGAGGAGAGAAAGATTTGGTTAGAACTTTTTTCGGAATCTGCTCGTTTTCGAGTAGGAGTAAAATTCGCTTGAAACTGCTCGAGCAGATTCCAAAAACTGCCTCGCCAATTGTTTCTCTCCGCATACTCCCCCATATTCGAGTGGTACTGGAAAACAGAGTATGTCCTATTTCTTTTTTTTACTTGTACGAGTACTCCCACTCGAAGAGAAGACATGATGTTCCAAATTATTATCAAGCTCAAAATCTTCCTCTAAAAAATCACCTTATATAATACAAATTAATGAGGTTCAGAGCCTTTGCCGTATTACAAACCGAAATAATATTCCAAAAAATGTTCTTTCAAAATTTCAAATCTTGAAAAATCAACCCAACAGCTACTTATTTTTATTTCTGATCGTTTTCGAGTAGGAGTAAAATTCGCTCGAAATCGAGCAGATTCCAAAAACTGCCTCACCAATTGTTTCTCTCCGCATACTCTCATTTATTCGACGGCTTTAAAAAATAGAGTATGTCCTATTTCTTTTTTTACTCGCAGGAGTTCTCCCACTCGAAGAGGGCTCATGGTGTTCTAACTTACTATCAAGCTCAAAATCTTCCTCTTAAAAATGTGCTTATAAAATGCAAATTAATAAGGTTCATAGCCTTCGCCGTATAGCAAACCGAAATAAAATCTAAAAAAAATATTCTTTAAAAAATTTCAGATTTTCAAAAAATCAACCCAACAACTACTTCTTTTTATTCCATTCTTTTCCGACTCCTATTTCATCCCCAACTTTTTTACAGTTGTTGTGTGACGACAACGGTGCGTGCCACAAGTTGTGTTGCTGCACACCTGGACATTTTACGGATTGTGCCGCATCAACTCGTAATAGTGACGACGACGACGATAACAACAACAACAACTACAAATTGAAGACCAATGTCTCGCTTAACATAAAATAATAATGATGATCATCACAGCGAGGAAGAAGACGATGATGAGGACGCTATGAAACAATTTTTGTTTTCAACTTCTAACTGAGACTGAAGTGAAAAATTGTTGGAAGTGTTGGAACATTGAATTGGTATGGGTGTGTTTGTTGCATGTTGTTGGTGTTAAAGGTAGTTAAATAGACGCGTAACAACAACAACAACATGTCATGTGCCATGATTTTTACCTGATACCCGCAGATTTTGGTGTTTTCTCGTTTTTTTTTTTGGTTTTAGTTTGTAGGCTGGTTGCTGCCACAAATTGTAGCAGCAGTCTAAGGCGTTTTCAATGTGTTAAACAATTTCTCAAAAAGGAGGTTTTGTGGATCAATTAGAAAGCAATGGTGCCAATATAGGAAATTCTGGCTGATTGAAATATATGGTCAATATAAGAAATCCAGGTTGTTGGATATCAAAAAAATTAATGTAGTAGCTCATAAAATATCACAAAAAGATAGCACATAATATGCTTATAAAGGACTTATTGCAAATTACCCAAAAAATTAACGAAATTTAACTTATTTTCATATGGATGCCGAACTGATTATTTGAATATCTCAGAACTTTTTGAATTTGTAAATATTTATGATAATTTCTTTGTAAATTATGAATAAAGCTCCATTACTAATTGTGTATATCCGGTTTCCTGGCGTTATTTGCATTATCACATGAAAACTTTTGGCTACTCAAGTTAAACTACTCTGCAACATACATATGAAGAGAATGCCTATTATTAAGAACAATCTCAAGAAAACTTTACACAATAATTGCACTTACTTTGAAAGCATTGTGGCTATTTAGCATAATGTCTTTTGTCTTCATTGTTATGCCGGCAATTGCTGGCCCAGTACCCAAAAGCCAACACACACTCACATACATATCCTTCTTTTGATTCCTTTTGAATGGCCATAAAAATTATCATCTTCTCATAATCTTCTCTTCATTTTGCTAGAATGGCATACGGCAAACTTTTCCTATAATCATAAAAATCTTACAAAAATTTTCCCTCATATTTCGGTATAATTTTCTTTTTATAATTTTTTTTTTTCAAAATAACAACTTTGCCAAGCCATATAGAATTGTAAAAAGGACATGTTTACACAAAAATTACATTGTATGCTTTATGTTTGATACATGTAGACATACACATTTGACAATTGTCCCATGAAGTTTACATTGTTGTTGGTGTTTTTGTAATACGTTTTATGGCTATTGTTTTCATGTCATTTTTGAGAAAACATTTTTGTGGAAGAAACTGTGTTTTTTAATGTGAAGTTTTATGTTCATGAATTTTTTTAAAGCTATAGAAAATAAATTAATATTTTTACTATTTTTATATTGAAGATATATATGCATTATATTGTAGATCTTTCAAGGAGTTTTAAAATTCTTTGATTTGACGAATTTTCAGGTGAATTTGGAAAATTTGTTCAAACAAGCTCTTATGATGTCCTTAAATAATTTTAAATAAAAAAGTCATGAATTTTTGCTACCAAGAATATTTTTGGGTGTAAAGTCCTTTAAAATTGACTCTTAAAAATTAACATTTTTGACAATTTTGGGATCCTTAAAATTTATTATTTTTTGCCAGGAATATCCTCCTTTTAATCGATTTCCTCTAAGTTTGACGTACTGAACCGATATTCATTAAAATCCTTCTTATTTGAGCTGAAATTACACTTTTTTTTGGCACAATAAACGTGAAATCGGATGAAGATATACATAGGACCTATATCGAAATCTGAACCGATTTCTATAACATTTATCAGAGTTATTTCTATGCTGTATCTGAAAGCTGGGGCCAAATATGATTGTTCTGTTGTGAGGGACTTAAATACAAAATCGGGTGAAACATATACAGGGTGAGATAAAAACACTTCAACAAAGTCAAACGCCGTAATTTATACATTTTTGTTTTTTAAATTTTATTGAATGAAAGTAAAAAATGTCGGAAATAGCATTAAATTTTAGAACAAGTGTAGATTTGTTCGAATTGGTCAACTATGGCACGAATTATAGCCTTCAAACGGCCAATAAAATCGTCATAAGCTGCCCGAATGTTGCTCTGCGGTATTTTGGTCCATTCCCGGCGAAGCACCTGCTTGAGGTGATCGACACTTTGGTATTTTTTAGTGCCAACCTTGCTTTCCAAAATACTCCAGACACAATAGTCCAACGGATTGGTATCCGGAGATTTTGGTGGCCATTGTGTGCTGGAAATGAAGCGAGGAACCTCATTTCGTAACCATTCTTGGGTGGCGCGTGCTGAAGAATGTTTGCGTGCCCAAGGCTGTAATATACCCTCTAGAGTATTTGTGCGCTTGAGTTCTGGTGGCCAACCGAAGGTGCACACTTTCAGCTGACCTCTTTGGTGATCATTTTGTTTGTTTACAAACTGCTGGACAAATTATCGATCAAGTCACGTCTTTTCTTTTCGAACCATTTCAGCTGATGATGCCGTTTTCTTCGGTCCACTTCCTTGACGTCGCGCTACGCTACCAGTATGATGGTACCAGACACAAAAGATTTATTCACATTTAAATCCTGTAGAGCT